TATACTGATTTAATTCATGCTATTCAAGATATACAGTGGCCTAGCAGATAGTTGTGGTGTTCCTCAATTGGCAAAAAAGTTGAACAAGGTAAAGAATTGGCAATGCTGAAAACACTAATTAGCTTTCATTATTAATTTTACTTGTCTCAAATGCTGCCTTAATTGCATCTTCTGCTACCTTATATATTTAAAAGAGCTCAATTCTTAGAAATTCCTTGAAAGTTCTAATTATTACTAATTCTTAGGATTTCATAGCTGAACTTAAGCATGCTATTTGCTTGTATATCTCCTGCAAATTCTTGCGCAACATATGAAGGCCGTATTACCAGGACTGAGAGCACGTATAAGTGCTTCTCTAGTCACTCTTGCAAAAGAACATGCAAGCTATGGAGAAATTACTGAGTCCAAGGCATGTGTCCCTATGATATACTTATTTAAATATACTGTTTAACTTGTTTAAAAATGATTAGTTTCTACTCTGGCTGATCATTTACCTACTTCATCTGTTAGCATGACTTTTTTTAGTTTTGTTAAATTTCATTATAAGTGTGTATATTTTATAAATATTAAATTTTGTTTATTTATAATATTGTTAAAATATTGATTTGATGTAGGAATCATATGAAAATACTATGATTGAAAAATATGGGGAAGATACATCAAATTATCCTATAGTTGATTCTGATATTTGGATAAAGACTGCTGGTGAAAATAAAAGAGCTAGAATTTATGGTATAGGTCGAGTTTGGATCTTGGTATTTCACATGTTTCATCTTCATCAGTTGACGGTCCCTTTTCCCAAAATCTTACCACACCTCTCACTCGAAGAAATCACTACCTTAGCTACACGGATATCTAGTTTGCAAGAGCGAGATGAAAACACGATTGCGAGCACAAACAGATATGCAAGCATTGATGCAAGCACAAATGAAGACACAAGCGTAAATGCAAACACTCATGCAACAACAAATGCAAGAAGAAATGCAGTCTTTCAAGAAAGATATATTATCTACCTTAAAGAAACAATGATGAAAACGTACTTTAAACTTTGTTTCTATTTGTAATTGTGTTATACGTAACTTTTTAGTTAAAATATTATTTTTGTTATGTTTTAATTGTTTGAAACATCATTTTAACTATGTTTAAACAATACTTTTATATTGAAAGTTGATAAGTTTGTCTTCTTTTTTAAGAATGAGTAATAATTTAAATCTTAAATATTGGATATTATAAATTTTGATAAAAATTATGAGGGATTAGCTATGAAATAGTGAGAAAAACATTGCAAAGGATTAGCTACGGATTAGCGAAGAAATAATTGTGAGGCATTAACCACTAGCTAGAGATAAATTGTTAAGGATTAGCTACAGATTAGAGAGAGAAAAATTGTGAGGGATTAGCTACGGATTAGCGAGAGAAATATTGCGAGGGATTAGCTACGGATTAGCGAGAGAAAAATTGCGAGGGATTAGCTACGGATTAGCGAGAGAAAAATTGCTAGGGATTAGCTACGGATTAGCGAGAGAGAAATTGCGAGAGATTAGCTACGGATTAGCTACAAGTTTTGGGAGATCAAATTAGCTAGGGATAAACAAAATTTCATCATTTAAATTAGCAAGGGATTTAGCGACAGTTTAGCGACAAAATTTGCTACAAGTTTGAGAGAGAATACTTTTGTATCTAATTAGCTACTTGGATTTAGCTACGGACTATTCCATAGCTATTCCGTAGCTAATCTGTAGCAAAACGTACCAGCGAGAGATTAGCTATAAAATAGCTACGGAATGTGTCATAGCTAATATGTAAAATTCTTGTAGTGTAGAATCTTAAATTCAAGAGTGAACACTCAATCAAGAATAATTAGGCTCAAAACTCACATGACTTATATTTATATCAAATTAAGTTATAATTAGACTTGATCAAAAGTTATACAAGAGGAATAAAGGTATCATACATGAGATTAAACAAAAATGATGTTAATCTAAATAAATAATTATCAATTAAAACTTCATTTATTAACAGAATGCATAAAAATTTTAAAAATAACACAAGTGTAATCCTATCACTCTACATTTAAATTTTGCATTGTTCTAGATGTAAAAATATAATAAATTTAAGGAGTGGAAGGTAATAAATGAATAATGTCTAAACAATGATGAGGAATAGGAAAGTGTAGTAAATTAAAAATTGTAATGGTAAAGATAAAAGAAAAAAAAATAAAAGAGAGAAGAAGAGGTTAGAAGAAGCTTATAGGATTCCAATATTCCTTGCTTCAAGTTAGAGGAAGTCAAGCTACCACAAATAACACGATAGAAAATGAGGAGGAGGAAGAAACAACAAAGTCGATAGATTGTGGATATCTCACTCTTAGTCTGAAGTTGAAGAAGAGCATGATGCTTGGATTGTCGAGCATAGAGGAGAGAGTTTGTAAAGGTGTGGTCAGTAAGCAGGCAAGGACCCCATTTTCGAAAATTGCCAAGTACCGAGAGAAATTTTGCGAAATTCAGGCTAAGGTCAAGCTAAGTTTGAATAGTACATTCTGAAGTGATTCTGTTTGAGCTGACAAAAAGATTAAAGTTGTTATAGACAAAATGATCTGATATGTTATGAACGAAAAAAATATAAGATGTTGTGAATGATCCGAATTGTTATGGATGACAAGGTCTGAGTTATTATAGACAAAAACTTGTTTAAGGTTTACTTTGAGGGTTTAGTGAGCGAGGAAAACACCTAGGGGAAGAGAGTTATGTTGTTTGGGATAGGGGTTACAATTTGTGACCTTGATGATAATTTGATATTTGAGATTTCTAAGTCGGTGGTTCGGAATGACACTAGCAAGGTCGACTTTGCCTTCAACCTAGGCTCTCAAGGCTTCTTCCATTGTCCACTCCTCCTCCTTTGCTATAATCGAGGTGATCAAACAACTTACCGTCAACAACGACGATGAGTTGAATGTGACAACATTGTAGTTCAAGGAATTGGCATGTGTGGGGTGCAAAATGAAGGACAGGGAGCATAGTGAGAGGGAAATGCAAAAGATAAGAAAGGATTTAAGTCGTTTGATCCACATGGGAAGGCAATGAGGGAGATTTTGAGGATTTCTTAAGCAAATTGGTAGGAGTGGAGCGATAACTTTGAGAAATCATTCGGCAAGGGTTCATTTTTGTTAGGGAGGTCGAGAGATCGATCATACCAATCTTATTTTTATTGTAAAGATAAGATAGATTTAATTTTACAGGATAATTTTGTTGAATAAAATTAAATAACAAGATAATTATGATTAAAAGTTTGTTGGATATTTCAATATTATGGTAGTTATTATTTTGATTCTATATTTATTATTTTGATTCTAGTAAGATAATAATAGGGTTTTTTTTTGTTGTCTAGGATATTTTATGGAAGTCTTTAAATACTCCAATGTAATTATTATTTTGGTATAAGGGAGAATCTATAAAATTCAATTTTTCAAAATTCTTTATTATCATATATATTTTGGTTGAAAAATATATAAGGTCGCCAGAGACAATGAAAATCCCTTGAAGTTGATATGCCGAAGAAGATACAAGTAAGGCAAGAAATGATGGGTTAATTTATTAAGTTTCTAAATATGAAAATTAATGTGTTGGGATGGAGAGTTAAATGATCTTATCTAACTAATGAAAAATAAAGAATATGTAGAGATAGTGTGCGTTCATGAGAGCGAAGCTCAAGATACTAGTAAGGAGGTTGACCATGTAAGGTGATAAGGACGTTGAATGGGTACACCCTCTCATAATAAATAAGACCGGAGGATTGCCATGTACAGTGGCGGATCTTGACCATTGATCTTGGGGGCCAAATAATATATTATTAATAAATAATAAAAAGAAAAAAGAATATGAAAGGTTGAAAAGATAAAATTGTAGATATATATTAAATGATAATTAAGTTTGAGGGAAACAAAATCATAAATTATATGAGAGTTACAAAATTGAGGAGGGGCTGAGAGGATAAAATTGTAAATATACAAGTAAATATATTAAATGTTCATTATGTTTGGGGGGGGGCCAAAATCATAAATTACATGGGAGTTATAAAACTTTGGGGGGGCCACGGCCCCCCTCAGCTCCCAAGAAGATCCGCCACTGGCCATGTATGTGTCGTAAAAGGGTGCTGCAGTATCGAAGAATATTTTAAAGGTCAGAGATTCGTTGCGTTACATGAAAAATAGGGAAGGAACAAATTGTTTGCACCGTTGTTATTGTGTATTCGCCTTGTGTAAGTCGTGAAAAAGAAAGATTATGGGATGAAACTATACAAGCTAAACAAGACGATGACAAGAATAATAGATGGGGCATATTGGGTGACTTGAAGTCAATAAAGAAGGTATTGGCAAAAACGGGAAAAGAAGATGGGAGAAATACCACAACAAAAAAACAGTTCAATGAGTTCATTTGTAGAATGGAGGTAATCGAAGTTGTATTAGTAGGGCGTTTATCATCTGCTTCTTGTGAAAGAGAATTGCGAATTAATCATTGGAAAATGATACTTTGACAACCCAAATTCATACAACTCCGGTAGAACAACTCTGTTTTAATATTATAATAATAGTTTTATTTTATTTTTATTTTTATTAAATCAGTCTATAGATTATTATATTAATAAAAATGAGTTGTTTGAAGAGTTGTATGGTTTCTAGTTGTCAAAATATCACTACTCTTAATCATTCTAATAATGTAATAAACAAGTTATTATAATATATTAGTTTAATTAAATATTAAGTCAAAGGTTATGTTAATTATAAGCTAGATAGATTTAAGAATCAATAAATGTATTTCATTATTCAAGAATAATTACATGTAGAATCATGACTCCCCCTAAAACTTATTTCCAATTATTTATCCAAAAGGACTTATAAATATATATAATTTATTTCATTGGTCTCCCATCTAATGGGTGACTTTCTTACTCTTTAAAGAAAGAAAAAAATTATTTAAAGATATTTGCACTATTGAGTTTTGTCATGCATAGGTGCATGCAGGGGCTTTCGATATTGATGGCTTGATATTATCACATTTAGATATTACTGGAGCTCCCTTGAATTTGAGATCAACATCAGATATCTGTACATTCTGACATGGTACCCCATGACTACACATTAGACTCAAACCTTCTTTAGTTGCTGAAGTTCCCCTGATGTTCTTGATGATAACGTCGCTTATTCTGATTTTTGAAGGATTCTAAGTGACAATAACAAAAATGAATAAAAGTTCGTATTATAAATAACGTTAGTGTAGGTTAAATAACCAAAGTGAACTTGTAGATTAATAGATAAGAAATTAAATACCTGTTTGGTGCATTGGTTCCATGGGCAATACTCTTGGTCTATGATTATAGGGTTCTGAACATTTTCCATGGTAATATTTTCAAATCTCACGTTAGTAACTGTAATTTGTCCAGGCTCGTTAGGCCAAGTCTTAATCCTGATTCCATTGGTAGTTCCTTTCAAAGTACAACCCATAACTGTAATCCTATCAACAGGCTCTTCTTCCTTGTACTTGCCAAGGCTTCCAATGCTAATACCGTGACCAGGTCCACATTGTACATTTTGGATAGTAACATGTGTGCAACCATCACCTAGTGAGATACAATCATCGCCGGTGGCAATATTTGTATTAAGAACATTCACAACATCGGATCTTCCAATGTGGATGCCATCAGTGTTGGCACTATTACCTGGAGCACTCACTTTAAAGCCGTCGAATGTCAAATTGTTGCAACCCAAAACATTCACATGAAAATGTTTGCTATCCTTGCTAGTAATGCCCTTAATTATTGAATTATTGACGTAACTAAGCACCAAATTCTGTTCACATCAGTACAAAAAGTGAATCAAATTTATATTTGATAAATGCAATGTTATATTTCATTTGAATTTGGATAATAATATTTACTTACCATGCCAAGCAGCTTACAATTAAAGTTTTTTGAACATTGATTTTGTTTCCAAGCTGCTGCACCTTGGCCATCAAGAACTCCACTACCAGATAAGGTTACAGAGCTAACATAGCTAATCTTGAACCATCTAGTAGAACCAACATCACCTGGGTTTGCAGGAGCTTTAATTGTGCCATCAATTTGAATTTCAATAGGAGCCTTGCAAGGACCTCTAACATCTACTGCAGTCATCTGGTATGTCCCAGCTGGAACCCAAATTTTGGAAGCACTTGAAGATGCACATGCTTCAGCCCAAGCACTTGTCAAAGCCTTAAGAACATGGAAAATGACAAATTAATCAATTCAAAAACGGTAACAATAATAATATAATCAATTCAAAAACAGGGTAACAATAATAATAATAATAATAGCCGTCCATTTCACATCAAATGAGTGGTTAAATATCACCCGTTCATACCCGGGCTATATTCGAATTTTGTTTTCCTCCATGTTTTGATATATCGATATGAGATTGAGCTAAAGCAAAGTAGAATACAAAAAAAGATAGAAGTTCTATGACAAGAGAGAGCTTCATGATTTTTTATTTTTTATTTTATTTTGTGGATACCACACTTTTATCAATGCTAAGTGAATTGATTATGGAGAATGCTTTGGCTTTATTTATATAGGAATTGCAAGGTTTGAAAACCGTCAATTTCGTAACCAACTACTATCCATCCGGATACGCCTTTCCTTCTACAACTGTTTGGTATATATTTAGAATTCAGTTATTAACAATTAATTCACTCTACATCACTCGTTAATCGCATTATTTTCGCTATGGACCATCTATGTTGAAAAATTGATTTAATTTGAGTACAATATAGTTATAGTTTGATTCGTTCAAACGCGATGTTTACTATCTAAATTTTAAAAGTGATCTCTCTCTTCACAAAATAAGTTTATTTTCAAATATATTTATATAAATCTTAATTTATATTTTAGATTTAATCACTCAATCATTTCAAGAATCCTCAATAAATGTTCCTTTTAATAATTATAAATTTTACTATTTCATCTTTAATTAAAATTTAATTATAACATTAATTTTAATAATTATAAAATTTACTATTTCATTCAAATAGTTTTAAAATATATAGTCTGTTATTCAACTAAGAAGAAAAGAAATTTTTTATTAATATATGTTAAGCGTAAAAATGAAAAGAAAAAAAGGCTAAAAGTATCATTAGTGTTTAGAAAATGTTGTAGATAGTAAAAGATAGTGACGAAGCAGTTTACGGTCTTAATATTGCTATCATTTCGTAACATATTTATAATTTTTTTTATAAAAATTGACCTTTTAATTTTATTATATTTTATATTGATGCACCTTTAAAAGTTTTAGTACCTTAAATAATTAAATAATTAAGTGAAGATGCGGATGAGAATCTCAATTTTCAAATACCCTCTTACAGTGAAACAAATATTGGTATAATTTATACGAATAAACTAATTGAAATCATTTGACAAATACATTTTATTTCATTTCACTTAAGGATTCAATAGAATTCTGCATAATTTTTTATATTCTTTAAATCAACAAAAATGGCTTAATATTAAAAAGGTAGCAGATGTACTAAGTAGTACAAAAACAAATACACCCAAGCTATCTTATTACGTGGGTTATGTTATATTTATATCAGCATAACATTTTTTATTTTACTAACAAATACAATAAAAAATAACAGGTTGGTCTGTACGGTGACTTTTCAAAATCTAATACTTTATTTTATATTAGGAAAAGGTTGAGAGATTATTTATAATAGTAACAAATATAAATATTAATGTGTTTGTAAAAAAATTAAAATAATATAATTTAAAGGTGTTTATACGTTGTTCGATTGATTAAACTTATATTCCATTACGCGATGGATTATTTAAATACCACGTGAGTTCTTTAGAGATGATTCAATTAGCACCTATTATTTTATAATTAAGATGTAACGTATTTCAACAACCTGTCCCTCGCATACAATTTGGATTTTTATTATAATTTGAAATATTTAAAGTAAATTATGAGAACAGTAAAGAACAATAAAAGTAATTTGTCGAAAAGTAGACCTGAGAAGAAAGTAAATGATAAAAAGATTTTATAAAGGATAAAATAGAAATTAGTAAAAAAAATCAACGAAAATGACGATCTAAATTCTAAAGAACTTCATTGAAAGTTGTTTGTTCCTTGTTCATAATAGTGTTTCAAAATATAAATCTTAACACAATTTAAAAATCACCTTTTATTATATTTATTTTATTCTATTTATATTTTTCTTATGTAACCGTTAAGATAATGTAAATATAAAAATAAATATAAATAATAAATAAAATCTACAAACAATTATTTCTTTATAATCGCTGTCCTTGTTCCTCAATCCACTTTTTGATACATGTTACTTGTTAATGACAACTCATTTGTTAGTATTTTTCCAATTTAATAAAGTAAAATTAGATTCTTTTAGGTTCTTATTCTGTTATATTAGATTTTTATTTTTATTTTTAGAAAAACATATGCAAAATCACAAAAATATACTAATTTCTGTATATTAACATAGCTTTCTGTATTACATTTGATTTCTTCACTTACCAGTTTTGACCTTTGCCTCTTCTTTGATTTATATCTTTTTCTACAGAATTTCGATTAAGCTAATTCTTTTGCGTTGGAAACTAGACATCTTAAGTTTCAATTTTAACACATATTTGACTATTTTTGGAGCTCGAAGCTATTTTCAATAAATCAAAGAAGATGGTGAGACGAAATTGCAGATCCTGTTGCGAAAGTGATACGGAAATTAACTCTAGTTAGATTTAGGACACACTTATAATTAGTTTTAATCATGGTTTAGTTAGTTTTAGGTGGAGTCTTGGAATAATTGTTATTCTCTTATTCTCAAAAGAAAAAGTAAGAATAGTATGATGATCCAAATTATGTTATTTATAAACCACATGAGATTTATTGGATTGGATTGCGTTATGGTGAGAGCTTCATGGGAATATTTGGTTTCATTTTAAAATGCAGAAGAAGAAAATTTACATACTCCATTATATTTTGTGGGATAAGGTGGGATTTTCTTTTTCCCAATCAATAAAGTTTTGTTCTCTTATAAATTAATTAGAATTTAAAAGACAGAAAGATAAAGGAGCATGCTTAACTCATGAAAATATCAATTCAGTGTCACAGATGATGAATTCAGTATCATTTATGTGCTTTTTTTAAAGGCAAAGAGACACTAAGATCACCAAAATTACTATTTATAATCATATAGTGTTGTAATTAACTTGTAATTTCTTAGCAACAGGGTAAGTATTTAACTAAATGGGGCACATGCTTTGTTTGTTCCATTGGATTACATCATGCATGCATCATACGTGTCCAAAAATGTACAAAGTAGGGTCCAATTTTTAGACAATGCCTTTTTCATCAAATTGGTTCAACACGCTATAATTTAAAATTTTCTAACAAGAATTTCAAGTTTCTCTTTTACTCTCTTGTCTTTTCTCTTTTATTATTCTAGAAACTAATACAAACACAAAGTAGTTGTTAATTAATTGCAAGCATTAATGTAACCAGTCCTGGAACTGTTACACCATTTTCATTGCAAGCTTTTCTGTTAATTGCATTAACAAAAACATAACAAAGCATGTTTTTGGGTGAGAAAGGATTATTAAATGGATGAAGGAGAATGAGAGAGATTTATGGTGGAAGAAAAAGATAATGATATTATTGATTGTTTTCTTATCTCCACATAAATTAGCATTATGAGCGTGTGTGAGGTGTGTGTTGAACATACAAGGATATGAATGTTGAACATACAAGGATATGAAGCTTGTAGATTTTGGTGATGATTCAAGAATAAAGGACCTAAAGATCTGAAGACTTGTAATATTATGTAATAATTCTGTTTTTATGTTTTTGAGTCTGTAATATTAGAGTCCAAGATAGCCAGCACATATACCACTCTTTAAAAGCTCTAAAAACTCATTTTTATCAAAAAGTTACTAGAATAATCGATTAAACCACAGGATAATCGATTATTACAGAAAGAAAATCATTTTCAGTATATGCTCACTGGATTAATCGATTAACTGGGCAAAATAATCGATTAAATGGGCTGTTAATCGATTATCTGACCCTGTATTGCTTTTCTGAGAGAATGACTTTGGAATAATCGATTAACACTTAAGATAAACGATTATTTGGGTCTGTTATGTGTTTTGAAATTCAAAATTGGACCAAGTTTTGAAAACACTATTCTCAATTCATCAAGTTTCAAAAATCCCCAATTCCCAAACCCTATTCTCTCTATTTAAGGTTCTTTAAGGCTCTCTGCAAATAGAACAAACATTTTTCATACAAAAGTTAAGAGTTGTGACTGCTAGAGAACTTGTTATAGGGAAGAAAAAGGGGCTTTTGAAAACCTAGTGTGGACTAGAAGCGATAAGAATCACTGAGTGGGTTTCTTGGTGGATTGTGTGTTGTGCTGTCTCTAGGAAAAACTGTTCTTCATCCTTTGTGGTTCGAAGGAGGTGTTCATCTCTTGTGTGACTCAAGAGAGGTATTTTCTTTACCTTATCTTTTCAATTTATAATCTATTTGTAAACTGTGATTATAGTGATAGCGTTAATCCTCTGTTTGAGTGATTAGCAACTAGACGTAGGGTCTTTTGATCCGAACCAGTATAAATCAACTGTGTAATCTTCTATCCCTTATCTATTTACTTTACACAGCATTTTGATCGGTTGATCGGTGAAATTTAGGGAAAATTTTAAAACCCTAATTTTTGTTTAAGAAACCAATTCACCCCCCTCTTGGTTTTTGTCCGTAAATGCAAACATTTCGCTGCGCGATTCTAACAAGTGGTATCAGAGCTTGCTTTGATAGTCATTCAAATTTTGAAAATGGCCGGACAAAATCAAACGTTTGCTGATGGTGCTTCTATCAATAGACCCCCACTTTTTGCGGGGCAAAATTATCCTTTTTGGAAAGTTAGAATGCAAATATTTTTGGAGTCTGTTGATAGAGGTGTTTGGGATGCAATTTTAAATGGACCTTTTGTTTCTAAAATTACTGAAAACGGAGAAGAGGTACCAAAACCATTTTCTAGATGGTCGGTTGGAGAAAATAGAAAAGCCCAATATGATGTTAGGACTAGAAATATAATTTCATCTGTTTTAACCCTTGATGAGTTTTACAGGATATAGGTTTGTAAGAGTGCTCAAGAAATATGGGAAATGCTAAGAGTAACCCACGAATGTACTGATGACATTAAAAGAGCAAGAAAGAACTCATTGATTCAAGAGTATGAGATGTTCCGGATGCAACAAGGGGAAACGATTTTTGACATTTAAAAGCGTTTCACACATATTGTGAATCATCTCACCGGGTTAGGTAAAATTTTTGATATTGATAAGTTAAATGTAAAAATTCTTAAATCTTTGGATAGGAATTGGCAACCAAAGGTGACGGCCATCACGGAGTCACAAAATCTTGCTACAATGTCTATGGCGATGCTCTTTGGAAAGTTGAGAGAGCATGAACTTGAACTTGGAAGGTTAAACGATGAAGAAGGCCAACACCAAAAGAGGAACCTTGCCTTCAAAACTGAAATTTCCAAAAGTAAGAACAAGAAGGAGGAAGAAGACTCGGAGAATGAAGATGATGAAAATTTGAGTCTCATGATAAAGAAATTTACAAAGTTCATGAAAGCCAAAGGAAAGCAACCCTTCAAAGGTAAGGGAAAGGTAAGAGAAAGTACTTCCTTAAATATTAAATGTTACGGTTGTGGTGTTTCGGTTGTGGTGAAACAGGACATGTAAAAACCAAATTTCCAAACAAGAAAAATGAAGATCATAAAGGCAAGAAATTCTTCAGGAAGAAAGCCTACATTGCTTAGGATGATAGTGACTCAAGTTCGGAGTCAAGTGATTCGGAAATTGAAGCAAACATTTGCTTGATGGCAAATGACAACATCTCTTCCGACTTTGAGGTTAGTGATTCCAACTCTTCCTCAAGTGATAATGAAAATTATTATGATGCTTTACAAAATTCATATGGAGAATTTTTTACTGCTTTTAAGGACTTGAAAAATGAATATAAATCTGTGAAAAAGTGTTTGAAAAAATCCGAAAAAGAGGTGGAATCCTTAAAAACGAAAATTGTATGTTTAAAGGAAAAAGATAATAAAAATGTAGTATGTGCATCATGTAAAGAGTATGAATATGACATTGATATACTTAGCCATTTGCTTGATAAAGCTAAGAAGGAAATAAGTGATAGTTATAAGGATAAGGCTATTGTTCAAAATAGAGAAAATGTTATGTTCCATTGAAAAAGCCTAAAATTAAAAATAGAAGAGTATGGATTGAAAAAGGAACTAAAACTTCAAAAGTTAGAAATGTATCATATTCAAAGATTACATCTAATGCATGCTTTTATTGTATGAAACATGGTCATACTTCAAATAGATGTAGAATTAAGCATTTTGGTGTTCCTAAAGGAAAATATGTTTGGGTTCCTATAGTTAAATGATATGATTGTCTCTAACCCCAAGGACCCAAAAGTTATGGGGACCTAAGATTATTATGATCTTGTTTTGTAGGAAACTTCCAAATCCAAGAAGTCTATGTGGTATCTTGACAGTGGATGTTCAAACATATGACCGGAGACAAAACGAAATTTGTGAGTTTCAAAGCTAAAGAACAAGGATATGTAACCTATGGGGACAACAACAAAGGAAAAATACTTGGAATCGGAAACATTAGTGGTGTAAATACTTTGGAGATAAAGGATGTGCTTCTTGTTGATGGACTAAAGCATAATCTCCTAAGTATAAGTCAACTTTATGACAAAGGATTCAAGGTAATCTTTGAAAGTAAATTTTGTACCATACATTTAAAGGATTCCGAAAATATAGCATTAAAAGGCATTAGGCATAATAATATCTATTTGATTGATTTGGATTGTGTACCTAATACTAGTATAACATGCTTAATTGCTAAGAAAGAAAATCCATGGTTATGGCATAAGAGAGCGACTCATATAAACATGCATCAATTAAACAAACTAATAGCAAAGGACTTAATTGTTGGTTTGCCTAAGTTAAAATTTGAAAAAGATAGATTATGTGATGCATGTCAAAAAGGTAAACAAGTGAAATCATCCTTTAAATCTAAGAATGTTATTTCCACATCAAAACCTTTAGAACTATAACACTTAGATTTATTTGGTCCATCTAGGATAAAAAGTTTTGGTGGAAATTATTATGCTCTTGTAATTGTTGATTATTTTTCTAGATATACTTGGACATTTTTCTTAACATTAAAAAGTGAAGCTTTTAAGGTTTTTAGGAAGTTTTCCAAGCAAATCCAAAATGAGAAAGACTTAAGAATTAAGGTGTTAAGAAGTGACCATGGTGGAGAGTTTCAAAATGAATGGTTTGAAAATTATTGTGAGGAAAATGGTATTTTGCATAATTTTTCTGCACCTAGGACTCCCCAACAAAATGGTGTAGTAGAAAGGAAAAATAAGGCACTAGAGGAACTTGCTAGAACAATGTTGAATGAATCAAATGTTCCTAAGTATTTTTGGGCTGATGCTATAAGTATTGCATGTTATGTATTAAATAGGATGCTTATTAGGCCAATTATAAAATCAATTCCTTATGAACTGTTAAATGGTAAAAAGCCTAATGTTGCTCATTTAAAAATATTTGGATGTAAATTCTTTGTTTTAAATAATGGAAAAGATAACTTAGGAAAATTTGACTCAAAAGCCGATGAGGGTATTTTCTTAGGTTATTCACTAACTAGCAAAGCATATAGAGTGTTCAATAGAAGAACTTTAAATGTTAAAGAATCTGTACATGTCACCTTTGATGAAATTGTAGACCTTGAGGGAAATCCTCTTGAGTCAAATAAAGAATTTGTAGGTGATGATGAGTACATAAGAGAGACTCTAGAAGAAATGTACTTGAATGAGAATGAGTCATCTCAACCAACTGAATTAGCAAAAGAGTGGCAATCACCAAGAGGACTTTCAATAGACAATATAATTGGTGATATCTCAAAAAGGGTAAGAACTAGAAATATGACAAATTTCTGTATGTCTGTAGCTTTTGTTTCACAGAAAGAACTCAAAATTGTTGAAGAAGCTCTTAAAGATGACCAATGGTGCATAGCAATGCAAGAAGAACTTAATCAATTTGAAAGGAATCAAGTTTGGGAATTAATTCCAAGAGAAGAATCTTATCAAGTGATTGGAACAAAATGGGTATTTAGAAACAAACTTGATGAAGATGAAAATATAACAAAGAACAAAGTCAGACTTGTTGTCAAAGGTTATTGTCAAGTGGAAGGTATTAATTATGATGAAACTTATGTTCCTGTTGCCAGGTTAGAGGATATACGCCTACTTCTTGCTTATGCCTCATTGATGAAATTTAAACTTTATCAAATGGATGTTAAAAGTGCATTTTTGAATGGGTTTATCAAAGAGGAAGTATATGTGGAACAACCCCCTGGATTTGAAGATTTTAAATATCCAAATCATATTTTTAAATTAAAGAAAGCTTTATATGGTTTGAAACAAGCTCCTAGGTCTTGGTATGAAAGATTAAGTAGTTTTCTAATTTCAAATGACTTTTC